TGATGGTTTTCAGTGTGGCTAATAGGAGTATATTATATAGTTTTAGGGGCATTTTCTTTACCAGATTCATATAAATGTTCAGGATAATTAAGGAACTACCATTTTCTAGCCATTCTAGTCTTGGGGTAAATTACTTTTTCATTTTAGTTTCCGTCTGTAAATTAAAGATATTTCTCGTATCTCAGTGACTTGTTTGAATGAAACCAGGTAATGTCTTTAAAACTCAGAGTTGGGGGTGTAGCTCACTAGGTAGAGTGCGTGCCTAGTAAGCACAAAGCCCTGGTCAGAACCTCATAAAACCAGGCATGGTCACGTAGGCCTTAGGAAGTGGAAGAAAAGGTAGGAGGACCAGAAATTGAAGATCCTTCTTGGCCAGACTGAACTACATGAGACCCTGGAGAGAGAGTCAAAGTGAAACAGAGATAGACAGACAGACAGACAGAAGCAGGGGTAGAGGGAAGGAGAGAGAGAGAGAATGTTATTATTTTTTATTAAACTCAAAGCTGATATTTTTTACTAAATACATGCAATAATGATTTTCTTTTATTTTTTAGAAGACAAAGTTTTTTAAATAAAAATTGACATATTGTTCTGTTATTTCTATATCTTGTTGGATTTCCTTTTAAAATGAATGGTTTTACTGTTGTTCTGATTTTTTTTTCTGATTATTTTTTAATGTGTGTATTTGGCCAAATGCTTGAAAATAATGAGTGTTAAAGCAGTGTGAGGTATTTCACAATATATTGTCCTAAGTTAATGAGAAAGCCTCATTTGAGTACTTAAGCTTTATGTTGTAGAATTTTTTTTTTTTTTTTGGTTTTTCGAGACAGAAACTCTCTGTGTAGCTTTGCGCCTTTCCTGGAACTTACTTGTTAGCCCAGGCTGGCCTCGAACTCACAGAGATCCGCCTGGCTCTGCCTCCCAAGTGCTGGGATTAAAGGCGTGCGCCACCACCGCCCAGCTTGTTGTAGAATTCTTAATACCAGCTATGGGTTTGTCTGCTAATAACTTCTATTCTCTGTCAATCAGCTAGCTGTATAGGGTTTTACTCTGGATCTAGTCTTTTCTCTTACAGTCCTGCTTGCTGACACTTCATTGTTGGCACTGCTTTAAAATGTTGGCCTTCGGATTTCCACAACATGAAGTTTAGGCTAGCCATCTGTAGAATACTAATGATAAAAGGCCAAGGTCCTGCCCTTAATCCTGGAGCTTGTTCAGCTCCACGGCCACAGACCATGTCCTTCACACAGCATCTTAGCATAGATTAGCATGTCATCTACCTCATCCTTGCTTAAAAACCAAATAGTACTATATGCGTCATGGATAAAATAGCACAAATCCAACAGCCCTGCAAAGTAGCTAGCCCATTTTAAAGTGATGGTAAACGCCAGTGGTCATGAGCATATCTGTTAATCCCAGGACTTGGGGGACTAAGGCAGGTGAATCAGGAGTTTGAAGCTAGCCTGGCCTACATTGTGAGCCCCTGTCTCAAGAACAGAGGAGAAGAGGGGAGGAACTAGGAATGGGACACTGTTCCTAATATCTTAGTGTATTGCACAGTGTATCCCCTCTTTATTCTCCTCTTCCCCATTCTCTTTTTGGATTGGCATAGGTCGACTGGTTTCCACCCACTGGCTTCATGGACACAGATGCTCAGTTTAAACACTTGTGAGCCATACAGAGGGGAAGCTTCACCAATAGAAGATTTGGATATAAGCTTAAAATGTATACAAGCCTTCTTTTGCAGACCAAATCCTATTTTAAAAGCACTAAGGGAGTTTACTGTTTATAATACTTCCTAAATAAGTTGAATAAACATCCTTTAGTCAGTCTTAAGTGTGGATCTAAATTTTCTTATATCATTGTGATGTAAACTTTGAATGGAAAAGCATTCAGAATTCCTGCTTCATGGTGCCCATTGGCTCATGGAGCATGGTGCGCAGTTGGTTTGGTTTGTTGTACTGTGGATAGGATTGGTAAAATCACTTCCATGGTACCATGCAGATGTGAAAATGATTTGATTGGAGCAGTGAGAGTGGTTGAACTGTGGTAAGCCAAGAGGCAGAAAATGACATGAGGTCAGGGTTGTACAGGAACTCGAGTGTTCAACAGATAGAGAATCAGAGAGAGCTGCAGAATCCAGCGTATGTATGTGTAAGACAGTGCTAATGGTAGATATGACACGCATTCAATTTTCTATGGCATATGTGTTTATCTTCTTTATACCGGGGAGGGGCATTCCCTGTGGGGAAGCTTTATGTGTGATGCCCCTGAGTTTAGGCTCTTAGGATGCTGTGATTTGCCCCAAAAGCTCTTTTGATGACTTGTACCTATTGTTCTTTAACTGACTGCAATTTGTTGCCAAGGCCAGAACCACATTTTCAGTAGCAATGACTGCTGGGAGCCTTGGGGTAACTTAAAGGAGATGAAAACTGGTCTGGCTACAGGAGCTTAGGTTTTCTGGTGGTTGGGCATCAGAGGAGCTAAGGCACAGGTGTCTAGCCTGCAGCTGCAGTAAATGGATTTGGTAAGATAAGAGCAGTCCCTCGTCATCATCAGGTTCATCTTTTTTATGTCTTCACTAAATGATGTGGTAGAGGATAAGGAGTGTACCAGGAGATACTGGGGAGATCAGCTTGCCTTGTGATTTGGGGTTCATGCTCAAAATTAGAGGTAGAGCTCTAGTGTCTTGTTGGAAGGTTCATGTGCTCTGCCCTGTGTGAGTAGGTCGGGTGATTGTAAAAATCATGTAAGCCCTGCATTATAATAGTAAAATAATCCTGAATGCAAAGGAGTTTCAGGTTATCACAGGATAAAGAGATGATCTAGGAGAATATCGTGGAAGAAATATTAACCAGAGCTGTTGTGGCTGCAGACCCCTGGTTTTTAATTGTAAACAGCTCTCCCAAGCCACTCAACAATCGCTGATTACTTTATTTTTGAAAGATTTATTGTGTGTGTGTGTGTGTGTGTGTGTGTGTAGCCCTGCCTGAGTTTGTGTACCCCATGAGTGCAGGAACCCATAAAAAGCAGAAGAGGGTGTTGGAATCCCCAGCACTGAATGGTGTTAAGCCACCATGTGGGGGCTGGGAAGCAAACCTAGGTCTTCTACAAGAGCAGTGAGTGGTCTTAACCACTGAGAGCCCTGTCTCCAGCCCTGGTTTCTTCTTTCACTTTTGAATCTTTTTTCCGTGGGGCTCACTTCATTAGTCTTTGTCTTCACAGGGATTCTTTAAAGCCTTGTTGTTTGTTTTTCCAGTGCTGCTCTCAGATCCTGTAGGGATTAAATTTAGCCTTGTTTTTGTTCCCTGTACAGCAGGTAAGTGGTAGAAGTTCTGTAGAGGTGGCCAGGGTGGCAGATAGATAAACTAGAAGAGGAATCCTACCAGATAGTGTTTTCCTCCAGTTTGAGATGGTCCGTGACTAAAATCCCAGGTAAACCTCCTAAGAACAATGACCTTCACTTCAGAAACAGTGTGATTTAGAGACAAACTTGAGGATATTGAACTACCCTCTTGTCAAAGAGCTCCTGTTTTGTGCCTGGTGGGATTTCCCCCCTAGACTACTGAGAGTTTACAAATGAAATTGTTAAACTGCTATTGATTACTGCCTGGAAAACGGGAGTGGAACCAGAGCTCCAGAGGCAGGCAAGTAGAAGGCTGACTTCAACTGTGGAATTCTACAGCAGTCCAGAGACAAAGCTGATCCTACTCTGTACCATTTGTTTCAGAGTTGATAGCTGCTTTCACTATCTTCCACTTTTGGGATTCTCTTCCTATTTCAAGCTAAACTTGTCCTTTGATTGTTGAAATCGTCATTTTAGGAGCCTCAGGAAAAGATAGACACTTCTCTGCTTTCCAGATGAGCACTGTCCACATGAGAGAACCTTAGCTACGCACAGCACCTGCCTGCCTAAGAGAGGCAAAAACATTCCTTTCAATGCTCCTCACACCTGAAGCTCTTACTGGTGTTGGTAAATAAGGTAAAAACTGGAAAACTAAGACTTCCATCCTATCAGAGGGAATATTCTAACCTTCTTAATTACCTTCCTTAGAACAGAGAAGACAATGCATGGTGGTAAAATTTATGAACACCTCCACTTGAGTGAATGCTGTTGCATTTTGATAGTTGCTTTATTGAAGAATAGAAAGGAGCAACCTTAAACAGAGAATAAAAAGTTACCTGTTTCTTTGTCAAACACTCAACCAATGTATGACTGGAAATCTTGTCTTCTTAGGGCTGGAGGGCCAGCAATCTCTGTCTCTTCCGGACTGTTGGGCTTGGAGTCACTTGGGCCCACGGCACACTGCATGGCCTCCCTTCGCTCTGCAGTGCTTGCTGTGGAGCTGTTTGCACATGAGCATTGGCACCGTGACCCGCTTGTTTCCTGCCTTATGCTAAGCAGTGCACAGCTGATGTTTTTCCTACAAACAGATGAATGCATTTCCAAAATTAAAATGTCTAGTTCTTTAAAGAATCACACCCTACAATGGTGAACAAGTGTCAGTTGAAGTAAATTGTGAGAAATTCTTAGGTCAGAGGTTACAGGCAATTGTCTGTGGCTAGATATGGCCTACCAGTGTCTTTTAGTTGATTCAGTTTTCAAAAGCAGAAAGCTTCACATTCAGATTTATAGCTTCTCTTGGGAAAACTCTAGAAATCATGGGAACACACCTCAGGAGCTGCGTAGCAGAGAGAATGTGAGAGGTTATGCCTTGCTTCTCTAGCTCACAGCAGCCTGTGATCTCTGTTGTGTGATTGGTGCTTCTAGATGTGTGAGTGTGAGTTCCCTTCCAGGTAGCTCCATGTCTTCAGGCTACTCGAACTGAGCAGTTGCTTAGTGGACTTGAAGGAGTGGAGTGGCATGGACCAAATCAACCACTCCGTCTTAGTCCATTTGCAGCTGATGTAAGAACAAAAACACCTCTGACTGTGTTGGATATAAAGAACCAACGTATATTTCTCACCTTTTGGGAGTGTGAAAAGTTCAGGCTGAAGGTGCTAATAGTGTCTGAAGAGGGACCCATTTCTCATAGCTGGTGCCTTCTTCCTGTGTCTTCACATGGTGAAGGGGGAAGTAAACAGGTTTCATCAGGTCTCTGTAAGGACATCAGTCTCAATCGGGAAGAGATTGTCCTCATGATATAAATAATCATCTCCCCAAAGTCCCCACCTTTAGTATACTGATGAGCTTTCCACTTATGAGCTTTGTGGAGACACAAGCACTCTTGGGGTTTTCTGAAACCTAAATAGAACCTGGAGAGGTGGCTCTCTTTTTCAGGTGAGTGCTGTCAGAACAGCATTGCCTGAACTGCCGTTACCCTCAAAGCCTTGTTAGACACTTTGGAAAGGCTGTTTTCTCCTGCTGTGTCATCATGTCTTCATTGTAGGCCAGCTACCAAAAGAGCCTAGTGCTGTGCCTTGCCCACGATGTAAGTGTTTGGGTGACTGGCCAAAGGGTGGAGAGCACCAAAGCACTCATTTTCTCTTTCTTCCATGGATATGCCTCAAGCGGGAACACAGTATCAGTAGGGAGCCTCCTATCAGTTTGTAAATCTGTGAGAAGAGTTTTATTCCTCAGTCTAATTGTATTTAATTTAGGAATGTGCTAGAAATGTATCCTGATATTCTCCTCCCATATAACATTAGGAGATTAATAAATCCTAAGTAGGATGTGTCCTTCAACACGGATTCCCCCACCCAAGGCTTTTCTGGATGAGGATATTCCAAGGTAATAGAGTCTTATTCATTTTGAATCTAGCTGTCCCTCTGCTACTTAACATTTTCAAATTACTGGCCAACTTAGCCTTTTGGGATGGCAGTAACAGGCTGCCTCAGATACAGGGGAGGCAGAGTATTTCCAAACTTCAGGACAATACTTCTTCCATGGCTTTCTTCCTCCGGAAATGAAGACACCCTTGTAGATTTTCATAGGAAAATGAAAACATGCAGTGTCTTGAACTTTAGGAATCATTTTCTCCTTTCAATGTCTGTCACTTTTAAGAAGTTGTCACCTTGTTTGGGGGGAAAAATAATAGAAGTACTTACATAGTCAAGTGTTGCACCTTGGGAAACACCAGATGAAACTCTGCTCATTCTTTTTAATCTTTGTTTAGAATATGTAAATTAGGGCTTTAGGTTTGGCATTGTTAACAAGCAACTCGTTCTGGGAAGTTTTTTCTCCTTTTGTTTTATTTTAATGTAGATCAAAGTGAGATTTATTGGACAAGGAAAAGCTCTATTTATGGCCTGGGGCAACATTCCAGACTAAGAGAACTCTGAACTTCCTGAAAGACTTAAGCACCAAGAAAAGGCAAAATCAAGTAATACTTACAGATCTCGGAGTGCTCTAAAAACTGTATCTAATTAAGCTTCCCACCCCCTGTGGAGTAAATACTCTGTTAGTTATACAGGTGAGATTCTAAGAATTTCTAATTAAGCTATGTTCCCACTTCCTCACCTCCATGGAGCTCAAATTATACACTTTGCCAAAGGATGTGTGTACTGTGTCATTCTGGTGTGGTTTCCAGTAGAGTTCTCGGCTCATTTCTCAAAATGGGAGGGGGGGTATTGTAGAACATTATTGTTAATTCCTTACAACTACACTATGATTTTTTTAAAACTTGCTCTTTATTTCAGTTGAACACTTGTTTTAGATTTTTGTACGTAAGAAACTGTTTTCTTCTAAATTGGACAGGTCCATTTCTCAGTGACCTGAACACAGATTTGATTGATTTAAGCAGGTTTCTTTGGAGGAATAGTTAGAGCAGAGTTAGGTGGACAAAGTGGCCATGGGAGACGGCCCAGTTTGCTTGTGAAAAGCCTGCCTTCATGAAGCTGAGCTTGTATTTGGGGCGACTTGTTCTACTTCTTTCCCTAATCACATGTAGTAGGACACAAATTTTATTAAATCAAGTGTCTTAAGTTTGATTAGTTGATCTTTTTCTTGAGCTAGGACCCTGTTATGTAACTTGGGCTGGCCTGGAATTTGGTGTAGGCCAGGCTAACTTCGAACTCATGATTGTGACTCAACATCTTGAGTACTGTGATTGAAGGTATGCACAGTGTTGCCTGGCTTCTTTATTATTATTATAATCTTTTCACTAGAGCCTTTGAGCATTATAGGAGTGTGGGAACAAATGACCAAGTACCAGAAGCTACATGATGTAGAAATGTGTATTCTATCAATCTCCATACCAAAGAGTGGGAACACCTAGACAGCCACCTGGGCATGTAGGTTCCTTGTAGCAGCAGGGACTGCTGCTGTGGAAATAAACGGAGAAATACTCAGGCTTTAGCAGTTTTGTTTCCATTAATTTTTTTTAAAAAAATAAGATTGTAAGGACTTTACTAATTATAAAAGCACCGCAAGACTGTTGCTAAAAATATTTGAAAGCTATATGAGCACTAAGAAGAAAATAAATCCTGTGTAATCCTGGCCACAGATGGCTACACTTTAATACAACATTTTCAAGGATTTTCTAGGCCAGCCAGTGTATTTTTGAGTTATGTATCTCAACTAAATGATTTAATAACAGTGATTGTAATTTTGTATCAGGTAAATGAACTTCATATTTCTTTCCTAGCCAGAATATGTATATCTGTACCAGTAAATATTTCACTCTTGAAAATGAGTATGTGGCTTCCTCCTAGGATTTCTAATTTAAGCTGCTAGAAGCCATTCATGTATCTGTGTACATTAATGTACTGTATGCCAGCCACTTAGGAAGTGATGCTAGAGCTACATGTGAGATAGTGTATATTAACTTTTTAGACTCTAAAGTGTCTGTCTTATTTTATAGTGTGGATTAATGAAAACATCACTAAAATGTATATGTGTAATTATGAAATACTTGTTTTTCCTGCAATCTTTGAAGTTCTCATTGTTGTAAAAGTTCTGTTGTGGAGACTTCTATCTGCTTTGGGGAAAACTGTATTAGATACTCTTCTGTGGTGTGATAAACACCATGATCAAGGCAGCATATAGAAGAAGGAATTTATTTGGGCTTATGGTTTCAGAGGAGTAAGAGTCCATCATGGTGGGAAAGTGTGTCATCAAGCTGCAGGCCTAGGGCTGGAGCAGCGAATTCTTAGCCTAGGAGTTCACATTTTAAGCCATACCCAGTGCAAACTGGAAATGACATAGTATTAAGCCTCAGAGCTGCTTCCTGTGACATGCCTCCTCTGACAAGGCCCTACTGCCTAAGCCTCCTCAAACAGCTCACCAGCCAGGGAGCAAGTGTCCAAATGCAGGGGCCCATGGGGGACATTCTCATTCAAACTGCCACAGAATGGAATTAAAATTGCTTGCAGTGTATTTGTCGAGGCAATCTCAAGTGAAAAGAAAAACGTCTAGAAGTCACGCTTATTATTACTATGTACCTAATATTCTTAACCACCAAACTCACAATTGTGATAACATCATTTTAGAAATCTGTAAAGAGAAACAACAAACTTCCTGGCACAGTAATTATTACCTGCAGATGGTCTGAAATTAGCATATTGAATTAGCTACAGAAACACCATGTGAGCTGTGAAAGGGAGTGCAGATGCACAATGAAATTTCGTAACAATACTTGGTATGTGGTATAGATACCCATACATTAAGATACTAGTCAATAAATGCAAAATAAAGTGAGCCTTAACAACTTAAAATGTCCTATGTAAATGTCATGTTAGAGAGAATTTAATGTGAACACAGTAAAGTCTATCTACTTATATACTGAATATTTTTAAATAATATGTATACATGTGCCCAAATAAAGAAGGGCTGGAGTTGGATTTATGACTTCAAATCTGATTGGCAGGAAAGGTAATATCAGAGCTTTAGTTGGTTTTATAAAAGCATGAAGTATTCAGATTAACTTCTCTGTAGCTTTCCAGTGTTATTGCTGTTTGACTTTTTTTGTTTGTTTTTAATGAGCTTCCATTTTATGGCACACAGAAGTAAAAAGGAGAAGCTGATGAGCCCTAGGAAGGCCTGTCCCTCTTACCTGTGAGGACTTGTGTCTTTGCTGGTGGGTTCTGAGTAGTCAGTGCATACTTTTGGCTCTTTAGCAACCAGCCACCCAAAGTGTTGTTATTCTTTTGTGTTGAGTTACTCAAACTTCTCATCTTAATTTACATTTATAAGGAATATATTTGGTCATGTCAGTACAGATAAGGTCATCAAAAAGGCATTTAATTCTTAGCTTGCTATTGATACAATTTTGTAAGTATGATTATATCATACGAAGTTTCACATTGTCTCTGACAATCTCCTGGATAATTTTTCATTCAGAACAGAAACATGGTATGGCACAAAGGAAAAATAAAGCTTCTGATTTATAGTTCCCCAATATTTCAACCAAAAGTTAAACTCTGGTTGAGCTTGCCTGGTAATTCTCCAGGTTAATTGGTGCCTACAAATCTCATTCATTCCTTCCCACCCCAACTCCATGCAGGAAAGCTACTATAGGCATCAACCAGCTGCCCTCTGGACTCCACTTAGCTACTGTGCAAGTAACAGGTCTCATTTCCTTCATACATGTGTAAGCACATGTATACATGAGTGTGGACGAATGCACACACACAAACAAGAACACTTTTAAACTTGTCTTTTATCTTTCTCATTTCTGTTTCTGGTGAACTCAGGATTTGGGGGAACTGAATAATAACTTCTGTGAAAGTGCTTGGAGACCTCTTTCTAATATAGTAGCTGAGTATTATGGTCCACAATGAAATGTGCTAAATAAAAACCCCTTTCAGATACTGTTGCTTACCTGTTAGCTCAGTTTGTTAGTGTGGCGCTCATAAAAGGAAACCATCTTTACAATGAGATATTCCACAGCACACCTGCTTTACTTACCTGAGTATGTGACCCTGTGCCACACAGATGTAAGCTACATGACACGTCCAATCAGTTGTACATATATTTTACATCTCTTTATGTTTTGTTCCTTTTTAAATCCATCAAACAAGTCTGGAAATTCAATAGTATGCATCCTATTTTCTCACAGTTTGCTTTTTTGCATTCTGTTCCTTCTGGCAATTATTTTTGCCCAGTGATCTCCTATTTTTGCTTTTATAAACATAATCTATGAAGTTCTGCCTGGTTCCTAGCTATAACGGCTCCTTTTTCTAAGCACCAGTGCCCTCCGTCTGCTCATAGGAGTATCCTGCTCTGAGTCCTGAGTTCTTCCCACCTACTCTGGTAGCTGCAGATCAAACAGAAGGATGGCTCCTTACTCTGTGGTGTTGTTCCTGGCTCTCAATTGATATGCATAGAGTATTCTGAGTGTCCTTATCTCCTGAGTTTGGTAAAGTCACATCAAGAGTACTTTGTGATTTCAGTTCCTTGATTCTTAGCCACATAATTTTAGAGGTTTCCTAAAACTGTATGAATTCATAAAATTCTTCTGCTTTGAGTGTTCAAGTTTTGTTTGTTTGTTTGTTTGTTTGTTTGTTTGGGGTAAATATAAAGAGTTTGGTTGGTTGGTTGGTTGGTTGGTTGGTTTTGGTTTTTTGAGACAGGGTTTCTCTGTGTAGTTTTTGGTGCCTGTCCTGGCTCTCACTCTGTAGACCAGGCTGGCCTCGAACTATCTGCCTCCCAAGTGCTGGGATTAAAGGCATGCACCATTGCCACCCGGCTTTGGGAGTTTTAATCATCACTTTAACCTAATCTTAGAATTATTCCACTTTCCCAAGGAGATTCCCAAATGAAATATTTTAAAATACTAAAAGAATTATCCAGAAACTTCTGTATGGTCAGTTGAAATGGATGATCTTGAAGTACGTTACTGTTCTTGGTTCTAAACTATGGTACATATTATGCTTAAGGGTAGCATTTGGGTGCTAAAAGGGTGTGATTGTGGGGGATACTAGTGTCCCTTCAGAGGTCTCTGTTCTGTGCTGTTTGTAGAGTCTCTCTCTCACATGTGTGTGCGTGCACACACACTTGCAAACACATACACACACACACATCTTTATTCCAAGTTGAGAATGTAGTAACATGCAATGTATTTAAATCTTCATTTAACACATTAGGACTTCAGAGAAGAAGAACCTAGCTCCGAGTCACACTATCATAAGAAGGGCTGGAGTAATGGCCCGAGAGCCTTTGTTGTTTGAAGGTGCCCATGCGAGCCTTACTTTTCAGACAAGGCTAATCTTAGCCATGTTCACTGAAAACTTTCCCAGTGTGCTCTCCTCATGTACTCCTAGTGTAGTCAAATTCTACAGCATGTGTAAAATAAGTGTCTCTCTGTAGAGTGGTGAGTGGATCCCAACCCCTTCTCTCCAGGGTGGGTGGGTGTCCTTCAACTCTTCTGTTGCCTGTGTCCTCAGCCATCATGAGTGTTTTGTTTTTTCTTGCAGGTGACACGCTTGGTGCTGCCTGGCATGGTAGAAAGGTGAGTCACACGCTCACACACAAGCACTGTGGATGCAGAGCTCATTATTATTTATAGGGAGAATCCTTTCTTTGAGAATTTCATTAAAGTGACTAATGAACCTAACTGTGTCTTAGCACCAGGCCAGTCACACAGTGGAGCATGAGTCATTGGTGGAGGAGGCCTTTTCACTAGACTTTTTTATTTCCCTCTCTAGGGTTGTGGTGGTTCCTTTAGATCAGGATTAAAAAGCCAGCCTGAGTCACCATCGCTAACTCAATTGCCTGCTATTCTGAGGGGGTGGATAGAGTTCCTGGGATATTCCTGGGAATGCCTCCTTAAAGCTGTAGCCACTTCAAGCCTAAATTGGTAGAGTGTCCTGAAGTGAGAGGCATTCCTCTGGTATTTTCATTCTTGCTGGGGGATGGATGCATGAGGGACTAAAGCATAGTGTGAAGTGACCAGATGTCAGACTGACTCTTGGAGGGAAGGCAGTCCAGCAGTCTTATCAGTGTTCCATTTGGAATTGGGTGCCAGTAGAATACCCTAAATGTCTTCATTTTTGAGAAGTATGTGGTTGCATTTCCACATGTGAGATAGCACGAGTGTAAAATTTAACTAAACTCTGTTTTTGTCTCAGAAGAATCTAAATGTTGCCTAGGCATTCAAAGAAAACCTGCTGAAAAGAGCTGGATTTGAATGTTGGACCATTTTGTCATTTTAATTTAGCACTCCATCAAAGCTTTGACAGGGGAGGAATCAAGGATCCACTTCTGTTGAAAGACCAGCAAGGCTTGCAGTTTATGCATATCAAATCCCTCCATATGTTGTGCCTCATTCTACCCTGTGGGTGGGAAACGGGGCTTAGACGTCCATGTGTTGATCGTGTGCAATGACTGATTGAGAAACTGCTTCTCAGCAAAGTTTGTTGTAATTCTGTTTTACATGTACTGATTTGTATATTCTAATTGCCTTATTTTAGTAAAGTTTCCTAACTTTAAGGCCTTCAAGCTGATTATTGACTGACAGTGGGGTATACTTCCAAAGAGAAGACACGAAAATGGCAGTGAGCAAACCATACCAGCACTCTAGAAAAGACAGAGTAGAATCCAATAAGGATGAAATTTGGGCCACTGTCTTAGCCTGAGTTTTTTGACATCTGCAAATGGCATTATAAAGAAATGTTTGGACTTGGAGTAGGGGCTCAGTATTACAGCATTTGCCTAGCATGCCTTGGGTTCCATCTCCAACACCAAAAAATCAAAAAAAGGGAGGGAGGGAGGAAGGAAGGAAGGAAGGAAGGAAGGAAGGAAGGAAGGAAGGAAGGAAGGAAGGAAGGAAGGAAGGGAAAATCAAAGTTGTATGCCATAGAAACGTTATGAAGGAAATTTGAAAGGGTATTGGTGAAAGCTATATAAAAGGAATAATGGTTATGAAGTCACTTCCTGAAGCAGAAAGTACTGGATCCATAGAATGACAAGCCCAGTGCATTGCATTAATTTAAAGTAACTCTACCCTGTTTGGGTCAGCAGAAGATGGAGACTCAGTGAGATGGGGTGCCATGAAACACATGATGTAGAGACTCAGGGCCATCTCTAGACCTGGCAGTGCCACCATTTATAGCTGACACTGCATATGGAGGAACAGCATGAAGAGGGGAATTCATGGCCATCCAGCAGAGCTTAGCTTGGGGAATCCAGATGAGTTCAATCCTTGCCTTTCAAGAAATCAAGTTGATTTTAAACTGAGGTTGAGAAATGACCTGGTAGAAAGCCAAGAGAAGCTATGGAAAGCTGGAATCAAGCAGGGATGGTTTTTATGTTGCTTGCTAAGGACTAGTTAGACATGTGTGTTGAGTTTGTTAATCAGTACTTTGTGTTAGAAGGGACATCTATGCCCAGTGGAGTTTCAGGAGTTAATAAGTGTATTAGTCAATATGTGCTGACTACAGTAACAGATTAATGCCTAACTTCATGGCTTATCAGGGTAAAGATTTATTTTCCCCTTATTTCTCTACCTAGCCACTTGGGGAGGTGTGAAGAGCAGCTAGAATGAAGCACTGTCCTTTAGAAGAAGCCCTTTGTTATTGGTTTCTCTGCCCTCTTCCCTTTCAGTGATTCTATCTCTGCTGTCTGAGATTTTTGCCAAACCTTCTAGAACTATAGCCAACCAACTATCACTAAACAAGTATCAATAATCAGACCAAGGTATTATCACCATGCACATAGAAAGTGCATAATTACATTATCGGGAAACTTGCTCTCTCTACTTCCCTGGAATTATAAACATTGTGTACAGCTGGAGCAGAGAGGTGGTTGCCATAACAACCATGGAAAGGCTAAAAATAGCCTCTTTCATATTGTACTGCTTAAGGTGGAATTATGACATGTTATGGTGTTTTAGGGCAGGTAATTCTCTTTCATGTGCTAAATGTTTGCAAACTTTCTTCAACAAAGCAATATTTGTATAGTATGAGCATTTGATTGCTGGTTCTAATTGTATGCCTGACCCCATGTTCCACGATTCTTTTCTGACATTGAGCTCTGTTTTGATAGTTTCTCTGTGTTCTTAGGAGTCAATTAGAGAACTGTCTACACCAATTTCCATTTTTCATCTAAGCTTAGAAAACTCTTTAATGACTGTGCAAGAGTACACGTCTACCTTCTCTCGTGTGGAGTGAAAATGTAAAGAATTGAGATGGAGTCTGTATTTCACAATGCTGTGTCTGGTTAGCAATCTACACTGACTGACCTTCTGGCTCCTCTCCCTTCTTCTCTCTGCTGCAGGGTGGGGCAATGCTGAGGTTTCCTGAGTCAGGCCAGAATTAGTGACTTCTTTCAAAAGAGACTAAACCTCCACAGCACAGTATTTTTTATAGAGTTGAGGACAGGGATGCTACAAGATCCTGGCGGAATACTGAGGTATTTGGAGAATAAAAGCTTGGCAGTGTTTTAAATATCCAAGTGACAATTAAATGGAGTCTCCTGGGGGCTGCCCAAGTCTAAGGGAATCCTAGAGAGCACAGCTGTAAAGAAGCTGTAAATGCAAGCTGCTGAACTTTACAGGACTGGACAAGCCTATGCATTGGCTTCTGAGAGGACTAATAAAGGAGGTGACTGTGGAGGTGAAGAGGTGTGTCCTTAAGTGGAATTGATGGTTCTGCTTTGTTTCTGCAGCGTTTTAGTTCTTGTAGATCCTCCAAGTCACCATCACATGATGGCTAGCAAGTAAGCAGTGTGATCAATTATGAATATTTGTATCACAGAAAATGTTGCTTTATTTACTTATCTGATGTCACAGCAAACTAGGAAATGTGTTGAAGTAGGGGCAATACAGGTCTTCAGTAATAGAACTTCAGCAGAAGTTCTTAATGTGCTGCTATTGTTCCCAAGCCTCCAGAAAATGAGAGATTAACCAGCTTGGCTTATGTTTGTCTCTGTGTGCAATTAAGCGTAGCCTATTTTGCCCTTCTGCTTGATATAACAGAGTTGTCATGAGCCCGGCTGTGCCATGGAAACTGGTTTGACGTCACTAATTCTGCTTAAATGGAGGATTAGAATTAGACAGAGTAGTTGATTGTAAAGATGAGTCCTTTGTATCCCCCAGTCCCAAATGTTCACCCCTATTTCTGCATAAGGAGATACATTATAAAAATTGTGACAGGGCATCCCAGTGTTCGATTTGGGAGGCAGATAAAATGAAATAGAATATTTTTTCCTTGGAGGAGAGAGATTTGAATGCTGTTATTGAGGGTCATAGGAAGGTCTTTGATAGACAAATATGCATATTCTCAACAGTGTGACAGATAGGTAGGTGGGGGCTTTCTCTGTTGTCATTTAGATACAATTACAAGTTGGCTGTGTATTTATTTACTCACATCTAGTGCGTTCTCATTTTATATAGTACTTTGACAGTCTTAAATATGTTTTGATGTATTTTGAAATATAAATACTTTGTTTTTTATAGAGTACTTGAAATTTTTGACTTAGTAGCTCTACCCAATAGTAATTTCCTTTCTTTTCTCCCTCTCTCCTTTTTCTTTCCTCTTTTGGGTTTTTATTTATTTTTAATTTGTATGTTTCCTCCATGTAGGTCTTTATACCACATGTGGCCAGAAAAAACCCACAGAACCTCCACAGCTCTGGGGTTACAGATAGCTGTGAGCTGCCATGTGGGTTCTGGGAACTGAACCCAGGTCTTTGCAATAATGTCCAATGTGCCAAGTCATCTCTCCAGCTCCTAGAAATTTTCAGTCAGAGTAGAATATTTGAGAATCAAAGATCTTAGTTACCTCAAGAAGTAAGTAAGTAAAAGAATGACTGCAACATTGTGACATGTTGGATTGTTGATATGATTTTATAAAATGGGAAAAGAGCTTTTATTATCTTTAAATGACTTTTCCTCTGTTGAAGTCACAGCATTAAACTTTAACCTTTATCTTCAACTTTCTATATAATTTGTGAGTAACCGAATGAAAAATGTGACTTTTGTTCAGGGTATATGCAGCCGCCCCAGCTAGCACTGTTGGAACAGAACAACCTGGCTCTAAGCAGCAGTGGCAGACTGCAGCTTCAGGGACAGCATCGCCTGCATGTGCTTCAGACAGGCTTTCTCTCCCCTTCCAGTGGGTGGTTGAGGATAGAGCAGTTCCTGGTTAAAGGTTAATGTGGAGTGATTGTGAGGTTGGAGTTGCTCCTCAGGAAGCATGGTTGCCTGAGTCGCCGCAGCCTGTGTGTCCACCTCATTGGAAGCCCACCCATCCTAAAGGATATGTATTCTGCTGTAAACAGATTCCTTGTGGCTTCTTTTACATGGAAACTACACATCTGTCTAAATTGTGCAGTCCAGTCATTTTCAGCGTATTCTGAGCTGGACAGCTGTCACCACACTCTAATCTGAGAATATTTTCAACACTGAAAATGATCATTTGGAAGATGTAGTTCTTGTTCCATTTTTATCGGAGGAACAATCTGATTATAATAAAAGATTCTTTTGTTCCCCTATCATCAGAGGAATTTCTTTTAAGTGTATAAAATGAAATGACTAGGTGTTTATTGCTAATTAATCTTTTTTTTTAAAACCTAAAAGGGCTGAGATCTAACTCCTGATTAAAAAAAAATATTTTTTTTTTGCCTTAAAAAAAAAAAGGATACCAATATAAGGATAATGTAACTAATACATTAGACACTTCTAACTTAAAACAACCTTAATATCATTCCTAAATTTGAAATTTGATTTTTATCACCGGGATGTTAGTGGGTTTCACTGCTTAGGACAATGTGTGCTACTAATAAGGACTTGTGCTTTATAAACAACTGACTAGTCTCTGGTGACACATGAAGCAGAGGGCCCAGACTGCCCTTTGACGGCTGCACTGGCATCTTGCCTAAAGGCTGGCAGATGGAATGGTGACCTTTGGGGATTATTTCTTTCCAGAGTTATGTCTAAAATAACTCGTATATGCCGTTTAATCATGTTTCCTGTGCTGTTTTACATAAAACGGGTCTAGAATTCTCCTCCCTCGCTGAAATAGTGAAAAACAGGACTTAGGAATAGAAATCCAGACAGAGAACAGGCTATGTAGAAGGGAAGGAAGCTGAGGTGTGAACCAGAGGTGGGTGGGGTGAGATTGCAGTAGCCAGAGAAGAGAGGCTGGGCTGAGGTGGAGGTCAGTTGGTAGAGCACTTGCCTGGCATGCATAAGACCCTGGCTTCCATTCTCAGTGTGCCTTGGAGAAGCAGGGATTTCAGAGAACAAGTTGGTAGCTAGTTTTCTTATTTAAAGTAATAATTCCATACTTTGCTGAACCATTATATGCTTCTAACAACTGGGGTATTTACAGCATTGCTTTTCACAAACTGATTTCATTTATTTGTGGAAATAGAAATTCCTGGTAGTTGCTTGACTTAACTTTCAACAGGAAAAAGTTGAACTTTGTCTTTTGGCAATATAATATAGTTAATAAAATACAGAAAGGTAATTTTCAAGTTAGTTCATTGCCCAAATATTCACAGTAACTTAGGGAAGTTATAAAGTTGTCGTCACCCATTGCTATAAAGGTTTATGAAATACTTGTGCGTGAACAAAAGTGGGCTTTGGTGTCTAGAAGCTCAAGACTTTGTTAAGAGGACAGTGTTCACACATACACAATGGACTGCTGCAGTATGTGGTATGCCAGTATGTGAAGCAGAGGTGTCTGTGTGGGTGTGAGTTTGCTTTTCCTCTGCTGGATTGACTGCACTGCCTTGCACATGCCAGGCAAGCATTCTACCACTGAAATATATCCCTACTAATAAGTGAGAATGTTTGATACTGTGGCCACAGAGGACTCCAGAAAGTATAGAGACAACTAAAGGAGACCATCTAGCTGATCCAGCCTTGCTTTGGATTACTAAGACTGGGAAGTGAGCTCATCGTAAAGAAGAGCTATTTTTAGTTCATTGAATTATGCTTCATTCACCGGCCAGACATACCACATGCTCATGAGAGGCAGGGAGACGTGTGTTAGAGCAGCAGCCTTGTTGCTCTGTTTCTCTCTTGACTGTAATTCACAAGCAAATGGGCATATAATTTCCCTCTGTTTATGTGGTGTGTTTTCAATTCTAGATCTAAAGGGGTGATTCTCAACATCTCATCTGCCAGTGGCATGCTCCCGGTTCCACTGTTGACCATCTACTCTGCAACCAAGGTGAAAAGCATTGCAGTAAATTATGTCAGTAGAGGACTGAGGGCTGATTTTTAGTCTGAGCAGTTAACATAGCTTCAGCTTTGTTGAAATGCTATGCTTGCTAGTTTTCCAGTGATTCAAGAAGGACAGGAAGATGCCCCACATGGGCTTCTGGAATACCACAGATGGATATCGGCTTAAAATCAGAGTATCAGTGTGTCACAGCCACTGATTTTGTTCCCTGGTAGTTGGGTGATTTTAATGGGGACACTTATGCTTTCCATAGAGACCTAGCCTAAGCCAGTCTGCCCAGAACCTGATACTAATGAGTCTAAAGTCAGTGTTGGTGACATGAACAAGTCAACTTCACACAGCAAGGACATGCATCCTGCCAGCACCACACATATATTCAACAGACAAGAAATAGACCAATAGCAGTGTGAATATTCTGCCACGTCATCCAGAATTCATAGAGACTGTCACTCCTAGAGTGTGACAGGAATTTTCCAGAAGTCTATACTCTGTGTCATCATACAGCATTGTCATTCACTTCCTTATATTACTACTAGGGTAATAATTTAGACTCTTATCTTCTCCTGCCTATAGGCCAATAGCCCCAACTTCAGATACTTCACTGAGGCATGGAAAACATTTCTGAAGGGAAAAGAACAGCCATTTAGTATTCTCCCTTTAGGGGAAAATAAGCAAATCATAATACATAATAAGAACTTACAGTATGTCAGAGAAGGAAAAACACAAAACATACCTTTTCACTTGAGAAAAATCAGTCATTACTGTCTTCTGAGTCCTGGCACAGCTCCACAGCCCCCTGAACTACCTACTTTCTTTGTGGCTGGAACATACTGTCAACATGTTTACATGACACCTTGTGTTAGAATTCCAGTATCTGGTGTGTTCTCCATAGAGGTAGACTGTTGCCAATGGGGACCTTCATGGATTGTCATTAAACTTGGCATTTTAAGCCTGATACTGAGTCCACATTTGAAAAATGGTTTGCACAGTTTACAGATGGGTTTAGAGTTGCATTATCGGAAGGCTCTTGCCTTCACATCTCAAATCATGCTGTGTCACAGGACCCAGCAGCAAAACAGAGCTGAACGGAATCCACTCTGGGTTTCTGCTAGAGTGGCAAGTAGAAAGGGGAAGTAAATCCTTTGTTACATAATGAATTTTTTTTTTCTTTTTGAGGGGAAATAATTTTCTGTGGGGGGGAAACCTTTTCTAATTAAGTCAAAATTGGTTAAATATTAAATTTGGTAAGATAATGTCATTTATGGTAGAAAAACCTCTTGAGGTTTTAAGGTATTTTTATCTCTTCTGCGTTTGAAGTGAAAGGAATGACTAGAAACAGTAGTGTTAAATGGTTAATTTATTATTTTGTTGTTTCCATGGCTACACTCCAGGCAGATTGATGTAATATACGTGTTTTCTTTCTCACTCCCACCTCCCTCCTAGGCTTTTGTAGATTTCTTCTCTCAGTGCCTCCATGAGGAGTATAAGAGCAAGGGCATCTTTGTGCAGGTAAGTGGAGTTTGTTTCAGTTAAGTATCCCTGTTTTTGTATGGTTTCCACAGCAACAGTTGCTGTCTTGGCAACGAAAGAAAATCACATTCCTCAGTAAGCGATTGTGACGTGAGCACTCCCTTAGAGACATGGTTTCTTTTCCCTTATGCTCTTAGGTCTAGGTTTTTAAAAATTAGCCTTTCAAATTTTTAACTAGGATATCCAAACTAGAACTAAATGTAAACAATTGAAGCATCATTATGTGAGTGATTATTATTATTATTCTCACGATTTTTTTTTTAAACAACCTGACTCTTTGAAATTGTGGTAGAAAATAACAATAACATAACAAGATCTGTAGGCATGCAGTTCCGCGGCATGAGTCTATTCACACTGTCGAACAGTCACCGCCACCATTCTTCTGGAACTTTTCTTCGTCTCTCCAAACTGAAATCGTATACCATTGACCACTGACTTTCCTTTCCCTCTCCCCCGGCCCCTGGCAACCACCATTCTACCTTCTGTCTCCCTGGCACTACCTGTTCTTAGTCCATCCTGCGACTAGAATGGTTCAGTGTTTGGTCTTCTGTGATCAGATCACTTAGCATAGCAACTTCTGCTCATTTCACACGGCACAGTGTGGGGATTGGGGCTAAGACAGTTAACCTATGTTCCCTGTTGACCTAGGCCTCACAGCCAGGTCTGTTTGCTATTGGAGCCCTTGTTCCTACCACTAGGTTATGGGACCCATCTGTGCTCAGGAAATGGTGAAACCACAAAGTGTAGGCTGCTTGCTGTCAGATAATCAAGCTGGGCCTAAGAGTCATCTAGCTGTACTTTCTAAGCCGTTTTGTTTTCAGTAATATTGGAGCTAAGTCACCCATCATGAGGAAGGGTGAAGCAAATGTTCCCTCATCTTTAGGGTCCACTAAAAGCCTGCTTCGTCCAAGCCATTTCCTTAGCTTACTTGCTAGGGGTATCTACTGACCACTGACTTGGTATTGTTTAATTTTCAGCTCCCTGTATTAATAGGCTGCACTGGGGAGGACAAGGTTTAGTAGAATCCTGAATTTTATGCCTTTCCATGATGATACCATTTGTAATGCTGATAACTGGAATTGCCTTGTAGATTGTATTTTGATAGCAAGGAAGCCAGTAACTTTGGAAAAAGGTGAGGCTCCTATGCCTCTTGGTGTGACATTGTTGTCTTTCTACTGAATTTAGTCCTTTTTAAGCCCCACTGAGACCCTGTGGGAACTCTAAAGGTCCCCTGGCTGGTACCCTGAAGGCTCCAGAGACGTGAAGTAGCATTGCCTTGAGAACACAGAAAGCAGTCCTGGGAGTAGCTGAGGCTGTCCCTTCTCTCGTTTCCACAGCCTGTTTTCCTCAAAGGTAGTTTCCTTGGATAATCTGCCTAATATTAACCTGATATAACCAGCAACCACCCAAAGTACATTGGTGTTTGCCTTCTGAAATATCATATTTTGATGAGCTTGTATTGTTCCCATTAATGAATTTTAAATTATTTAATTTTATCCATCATTGTCTTTCTTCCTAAGATTCACTTGAGGTCTAAATTTAGAATGAATTTACTAAGAAAAGGAAAATTCATATTTATGAAGAAAAGTGTGGCTGTCTTACTGTGGGAATAAATCCCAGGGCACTGAGGGGAGCAAAAAGAGCCCCTTGTCAGCTGAAACATACCGGTTTTTCTCTGGGTGGTGTTTCTGTTTTCCAAATTGGAGACTTGGGGGATTGGATGGCTTGTTCTACCTTCTATTCTATCCCATGTTTCTTGGGTGATCTCATTCACACACAGATCAGGTACTGGTGGCTTCTCTCACTGGCCTCAGGTGCCTGTACCTGAAGTTTAATATTGAATTCAGACCCCATAAGGCTGTTAGCATTCTTGCCAGCTATGTTCAGGCTAAAATAGACCTTGTAGTGTCGTCTTCATGATCTGCCCTTTGAACTATGACTGACTCCTCTTTAGATCTGTTCCAAATTTCCTCCAAGTGGCCTTTGTCCCTGAGCCCTGGAAGTCCATCCATTGTCAAGTCTCAGATCATAGTTCATCTTCCCTTAGTCTTTATCTCATGCCTAGACGCTCGATTTAAATTTCCCTTCTGCTTCCCTGGGCCTCACATGTCTCTTATCTGCTGCTCAATGGACTTTCCTTGGCCTGCTCACCAAAGTGGCTGCCTGTTTGTTGAAACAGTGTCTTGCAGTATAGACCAGGCTGGCCTTGAACTCAGACCTCCTGCCTTTGCCTCTGGGGTACTGGGATTGCAAGCATGCATCATCACACCCAGCTCTCTAATCCTCTTGACAGTTTCCTTTTGTTTTGCTGGTGCTGGGTAGAATGTAGAACCTCTAGGCAAGTGCTAGACAAGTGCTCTGCCACTGAGCTATGCCCTCAGCCATCGTTCTGGTAATGTTTTAGTCTCTAGCAAAGCACTCAGTCTAGAATTAGGTATTCCGTTCTCCTATTTCTTGTGTTTCCTTCAATCTGGACTCTGTCTCTCTTTGATGCCACTGACACTTTGGAACAGCACAGCACCCCCACCACCCCCACCACCACCACCACCACCACTCTTCTATCTTGAACAGCCCTCATTTGGGGCTTATCTGATACATATGTGTGGCTAGATTCAGGATATACTTTTCTATCCACAACAGGAGGAGCATACTGCTGTGTCCTTCCTAGGATATCACATGGGAAGATGGGAGTCTGTCTGTTGCACTAATAAGCCATCAGTGTAGAGACTCATTAAAACATGCAAATATCCTACTTCCTTAGACAGTTTACCTTAGATTTAGCATCTTATACTCTTTCTTCCAAACTTGCCTTATGAAGAGATACTCTGTTTGGATTTTAATCATTTCAATCCATACTCAAAATGAAAGCATGGTGACTTCGGTGATCTCTAGGTCCAGTCTAGCTTTATGCAAACTCCATTTATTACTTGTGTACTTAGAGAGAGGGAGGAAAAGACACCAAGCACAAAGTCAGCAGACCAAGATATGGTTCTGCTGTCACCACTCAGTGGTCATCTGACCTAGGCAAAATTTCTGTATTGCTTTGAGCCTTAATTTCTGACTTCTGAAGGTAAATGGGATGAAAGAGGTAACATACAAAGACATCAAAACCTGGGAAGTAATAGTAAGTATAGAGGAGAGAGAGAAGAAGAAGCATGCATTTATGGAGCACCTACAATATACCCCATGCTCACTCATTATTGCCTCATTTGAGCTTGATATTAATCCTACCTCATGTCACAGATTGGAAAATAAAAATTAACAGTTGTATGACTTGTCTAAAGTCAGTGGGTGTCTGCTGTTTGTCAGTGAGGTAACAAGGTAAGTCAGACTCAAAATTCCTGCCTCAAGGCACACAGAGGAAGAAGACTATTTCAACACATTACCCATCAGTAGACCTAAAACAAGAGGTATGTGTATTATGCTTTATTTTTCTTCAGTCAGGAAGTATGTATGTAGAGTGTAAATTTTGGTGTGGCAGTTGGGGATATAGTAGCAAGAAAGACAGTGAACAAGAAAACAGGGATTGTGATGGTTCTCTAGCGTCAGAGTGCTGTGGAAACTCATGGAGGCTGTGCATGTCTGCAGGTGGAGAAAGTGTAGGAGTTACTCATCCAGGCTTATGGGACCCCAAGGCTGTGGGTCTGCAGGCCTTGGTTCTCGGTGTTGGTGGTGTCTGCACCATGCAGTTTTCTCCCTAAACCTGGGGAAATGGTCCTAAAGTGTTATAAACCAAGAGATCAGTTGCCAGCTAAAATTGACCCCTAGGGTTGACATTGCCTGACCCTGTATGTGAGGAAGCAGGATGAGATTGCGTGAACCCAGTTGTAGGTTTCAGCTGCCCTGAAGTGGAAGTGGATTTTCTCATCCTTAGCAAGACCAAAGAATACAGCATTTAAATCTACACTTAACACTGTGAGGAAACCTGTGGCCTCCATTTCATGAAGCTGCTGCCTTCTAGTGCTTTGTGATAAGAGCTGATCATTAATTCAGTTTAAAATGTGTTTTTAATCAGAAAGGATTCGGCTTCTGTGAGATTTAGAAGGCAAATAGGACAAATTAAGATAAAAAAATGTTTTGTTATAATGTTGTTGCTTGTAGTAATCACAAATCTGTTGGGCTTCAAAGAAATCTAAATGTTAAGAAATGGCTACCAAAATTGAAAACAGAAATCCCTATCCATTTTTCTTGTTAATTACTACCAACAGTAGAAGAGGTAATGGAGTGCCTTTTAGTGCACATGGAGTCCAAATAGAAATATAAAGTGATGTAGGATCCTTACTGGAAATACAGCTGTACCAACTTTGAGAAAATGGACTCCAACCAGGTGAATCTCAGTTGGTGCCAGTGATGTAGTTTTTTTCTTGACCCTTTTGCTATAATCCTGTGCCAGAAGATCTACATAACTAAAGTCTAGATGGAGTACTGTGTGTCCAGAGAATGAAGGTCCTTTCTCCACTGGCAGATTCTCTCTGGAACTTGATGTTTCTATACCTCTCACAGGGTGTAGAGATGGAGATGGGTTCTTTTCTCATTGCTTGTGATCATACAAGCATTAGAAAACTTAGAAGAGAACTGCTAGTACATGCTAGGGCTCAACTCTCACACTGAGCCTGTTTGATATTGTTCCTAACATAGTAAAGATTGCAGTTGTTCCCACTTGCACAGGGATTAAAAGTTTGGATCAGTAGTGTAGGTTGTATGTATATAGCAAGCCAGATTTAGTTCAGGTTGGTCTGATTTCAACCAGGGCTCATGGTCTTCCCCTATTTTCCTTCTGCCTCTTTCTTTCTCCAAAGTACAGTCCATCAGATCACTGAGTACCAAACCAAGTCTGTTCTGGAGATGTGTCCAGTCTGGCTACTTCTCGTGACATCATTGCCACTACTTTAATGTCGGGTACCATTGTGTCTTACCCTGGGACTGTCTCCCTATGTGGCCTCCTGTGCTGGATAGTTAGCTTGACATAAGCTAGAGTCATTTGGGAAGAGGGAACCTCACTTGAGAAAATGCCCCCCCATTGGCCTGTAGGGCATTTTTTTGATTGATGATTGATGGGGGGTAAAGAGGGGAACACCTCACTGTGGGCAGTGCTGTCTCTGGGCTGATGGTCTTTGGTGCTGTAAGAAAGCAGGCTGAGCAAGATATGAGAAGCAAGCCAGTAAGCAGTGTTCCCCCATGGCTTCTCCTTCCTCCAAGTTCCTACCCTTCTTGAGTTCCTATCCTGACTTCCCTGGATGATGGACTGACTATAACTAGACTGAAATAAGCCATTTCTTCCCCAGGTTGCTTATGGTCATGGTGTTTTATCCCAGCAATGGCAACACTAACTAAAATACCCCCTCTACCGCTGTCCTTGCAGATAGTCCTTTTTGTCTGCTCACTGTAGCCAGAGTTGGTGAAGCAAAATCCAGTCATATCACTTCCCTGCTTAAAATTCCACCAAAGCTGCTCATGTCCTTTAGAGTAAAATTCTGAGTTTTGGGACCCAGAGAGTAGCACCCTTGGCTTGCTCACCTCTGTTTAAAGGCCCTGCAGTCAGATCACGCAGGCTAGCCTCTGCCCTTGGAGCATCAGAACATCACTCAAATATGACCCTATCTGAGAGGCCTTTCTTGATAACCTAACTGCAGATATGGCCTCCACCATCAATGCTTTTTGCCCACATCCCTCTGTAAAATTGGGGCTCTGTTTTTTGTACAATTAACATACATATTCCACATGTTTGAAGGCAGGTTCTTTGTAGGACCAGTAGTCACCCAGAGTGTACCTAAGAAATGCTAGAATTTATTCTTGTTGCAGACGTATCTATCATCAGAAAGATTCCTTTACCTCACATTTTCTGGATTGTCTAAGTTCTTTGTAACCACTGAGTTAGTCAAGAGGGCTTTTATGGAAAACTCATAGTCTGCAAGTAGAGAAATGCAGACAGCTAAGCTATAAATACGTGTTTGGTCGTTCGGGTGTTCTGGGGGACTTCAGATCCTGAGGTTTCGATAAGTGAAGACACAGATTTAAAAAAGAAGTGAAACATCCCTGAACTCACAGGAACCCCAGCCTCTGCTTTAAGACTGTACAGGCTGGAGAGCGAGCTCCGTCAGTAGGAGTGGAGTAAAGCTGGACGTGATGGCTGGTGCTCGGGGTGGGGGTGGGGTGGTGCAGGCAGATTCCTGAAACCAGTGGCCAGCTTCAGGCTCGACAAGAGACCCTGCCCCCAAGAAAAAAGAAAGAGATCTGAACGCACATCCTTCTGACACGTACACACATCACGTACGACTTGGAAAAGAAAGAAAACAACAGAAGACTGTGTGCTGACTATTGTCAGCCTAATGCTGAAGTTGTCCTGGAGCTGGCTTAACTATGCTCTTCCTTTACTGGACCAGAAGAAAGGTGAGGAAGCAGGGAGGGAGGGACCACGTGAATCTAGAGAAGGCACATTAACGCAGATTAGGTGCCACACGGAGAATCCTGTTCAAAGGAGCCAAGTCTGCTACTCCTTGGTTCACATTTCCCCAAAGCATCATCACAGAAAGTTCTGATCGTTTTTAGGTTTGAGAAGTCTTTCTTAGTTCACAGTTGGCTCTGCCATGTGAAGTTCCAAGGCTCAGTGTTAGATTCTCGCACATCTGCCATGTGGCTTCCGGCTTCCTTCTTCCCACTTCCCATGGCGTCCAGAGCATGTGCTCTATGAAGACCATAGTCTAAGCAATCTAATCCAGGGATTAAGGGGAGAATAATATACCAAATTGTGGTCTCCAGGGACTTTTTATTTTAATAAGCTGAGCAGAGACACAGCATCATCAGCTCTGCCTTATGGCCTAACTAATATTTCCAGTTTGAAATTCTAAATTTGGAAACTAGGGTACTTGCCCACAGCTGTGGCTGTCAGGGTCAGGCTCTTTTTGAGGGGGCACAATTTGTAATGGTGATTTGTTGAGCTTAAGTGACTTTTCAGTGTTACTCTGTTGAAAAACTTCCTGATACAGTATAGGTGTATTTCTGATTTTGTTTCCCATAATTCTTTCCTGCATAGGCAGAGGATGGATGAATTATTGTTTCTTGGGCATTTGTTTACCTTCATAGCTTTTTGGTATAAACATTTCTATACTTTCCATTTTTATACTTTTACATACTCCTTTTAATATCCTTCACAGCTAGATCAGTAGACTTGCCTTTGTTGAGACAGATGATCTTTCTTAAGGTTCAGAATATTTAAAATGCTGGCTGGGTGGAAAGAGCCTCGGTATTGTTCAGTGACTATGTGCATATGAAGTACAATTCCATACTGCCTTCAGTAGACTGTCACTGCCTGCCTGTGTACCGAGTGCTGCTTTCAGCACTGAGAATGGAGGTGGGTACAACTTGTCTTCTTGGTCGAGTTCGGGAGCTTGCCCAGCACTTGGATTTGCTTTCTTTCGGCTGTACCAAACTCCTTCCAGTTCCCTGAGGATGCCTTGCTCTTCACAGCTCTTCTCTGCTCCTATTGTTCCTTTATCTCTTTACCGGGCTGAGTCCTCTATTTCCTTTAGGGCTTAGCCCCAAAGCTATTTTATCTCTGAACCCTTCATACTTCAGAAGGCCACTATTAGCCACCTTGACTTCCAGGGTGGAAGTACCCAAGCCTTCCAGTGTAGAATTTCCCTTTCTTAGTTGGAAAAATCTAACTTGACCAGGAATTCCCAAGTACACATGTTTTTTCCTACCCCCACCCCCCACCATAGCTGGAGGCTCCTTCAGAATCCCACCACAGGCTAGCTGAACCCTAAAGCCATGCGTTATCTTGTGGTGCCACCATGTGGTTCAGTTAGGGAGTGCAACTGAATTCTCCTGCAATATCAAAATCATCCAATTTATGCCACTTACATCTTCTGAAAGAGAAAAATGGAGGAAAGAAAGGTGCAGAGCATTATGCACAGGTGAAAGACATAGTTTCAGGCTGGCTTTATCTCTAGAGCTCAAGACTTCCCAGCACCCCTTGTAGACTGTGTCCTCTGGAAAGGTCTTCTCAGTCTTATTATAACCAGGAAGCCTGAGGCAAAAAGATGAGGACGGCTGTGCACATGCCTGTTGTTACCTGCTGTCAGAGTTTGTTTACACATGGGTCTGCCCTGCTTCGCTATTCCAGGTAGTGAGCAAACAGCTTAACAACTGGACCCCGCAGTTCACAGCCTGTCAACATGACCCTTCCCTGGTCTGTCCTCATACTGATGGCACAAAATGGACAAAACATTTTGCTCATTAAAAAAAAGAGAGATGAAGGTGTATTAATAATCCCAATAAAGAAATCCTCAGAAGTCAAGTTACATAATCAAAGTCATTCCCCGTTGATGTGCTCTAGTGATAGTTCCTTAGTGCAGGGCCTGTCTTCAAGGGTGAGAGAGATGGAGAGTCAGACCAGTTAGATGTCTTAATACATGGGTTGAAATTTAACTCACACATTAAGGACCATGAGCTATTCTTGGACTTATACTTGGGAGTGAGAAGAATACAAAATTATAAACAATGCATGAATATGCAAACCCCCAAAGAGATGTGGGGCTGTTCCTTCCACTCTCAGCAGAAAAGATATCCAAAGTGTGGAGAGACCTCAGCTTTATTTGTAATGTACATTTTCACTTCAACCACATATTGAACTGATCCTTTTCTTAAATAGCAATACCAACAGACCTCATCCTTTCTTTCTTCTACACTTGTGAGGGGAACAAGTGTTTGGTGAGCTACTGTAAACATGAGGTCTTTTTGCCTCACAGAAGGAACCTCTCTCCTCAGTCTCCCAGACTCATTATGGTGGAGGTTCCTTGTGTTCTGTCACGCCCAAAACACTGGGTGCTTATGCAGTGGAGAACCTAGCATTTGTGAAGTGCCTGAGAAAGCTCAGGTTTGCATTCCCAACCCTATACCTGCCCTGCCACGTGACTTCTGTCACCCGGGCTATTTTCTTCTTGTTACACCAGCTCTTCCCAAAACAGAAGATGTGGTCCTGTCTTAACAATAGCAGCTTGTAAAACTTGAGGAGCAGGACGTGAGGACATGAGGGAAGAGAGTGGTGAGCTAAGGCTGGGGGAATGAAATGTATCTTTGAGAAGGGCTGCAGTGATAGGACACACTTAATTCACCAGGAGGGCTGGGGCAAAGCGGTGCTCCCCATCGGACACCAGAGTCTCCTGCTTGACCAGAACAGGAAGAACAGCCTGAGCCTCAGCTCCCCAGATGTCTGCCCACTGCTTTCCTTTGAAAGGTTCAGAAATGGTTGCTTCTGCTTATTTTTCATATTTCCCAGCCTCCAGTTTTGTTTTACCCAAAGGTCATTGTAGTACAGTTCATGGCTTTGCTGTTATATGTTCAGTGAAGTCAGCTTTAGATAGCAGCATGGCTGCTATCTAAAGATACAGACTCTAGATTTCATGAGGATGCTTCGACTGCCGGACAAACAGTCAGGCATCATGCTCAGTTTGGAGTTGGTAGCCTTCCTAATTGATGGCATGTTTTGTTTTGTCTTTTTCTCTCTTTGTATGTGTGTTTGGATCCTTTCTAGAGTGTCCTGCCATACTTTGTAGCTACAAAACTGGCAAAAATACGGAAGCCAACTTTGGATAAGCCCTCTGCAGAGACGTTTGTGAAGTCTGCAATTAAAACAGTAGGTTTGCAGTCCCGAACCACTGGATATGTGATCCATGCTCTCATGGTATGTATAGTTCTAAATCTTACTATATTTTCCAGTTTGGGCATTTCTTTCTATATTATCTCATAGGATCAAAATGTATACTTTGCCGGACAAGGTGGTATATATCATTAATCCTAAAAAAGACATTTGTATTTTATTTCAAACTGTATACTTAAGAACTTTAAAATCTCTGTAAGTAATAGTGATGAGAAATGGAAGATGGCTGATAGGCTTCACTTCAGTTTAGCTCAGTTGTGGGCTGTGCTTATGTATCTCCCCAATTTCTTTCCCTAGGGTTCAATAAACTCAATCTTGCCTCGTTGGATTTATTTTAAAATAACCATGGGTTTCAACAAGTCCTTGCGGACTCGCTATCTGAAGAAAACTAAGAAGAACTAAGTGTTGATGAGTCAGTGAGCCCCGTGGCCAGATGCCTGGACCTGTACACGTTCACGTTCACCCAGGGTACCTGATGCCTGGACCTGTACGCGTTCACCCAGGGTACCAGCCTGTCCCTAGAGTCTCCACTGTTATTTCAATAATTACTAACACGGCCAAATGTTGGCATAATTTTAGGAAAATAAACTCCTTTTAGAGGCTTTTAACATATATTCTGGATACAACAGGAGTAATTTGAAGTAATTTGAATGTAAATGCTCTTGCCAAAAGTCTGAGACTACTTTGACAGAAAGGAACAAATCCCAGAATATATTGTCTGGAGCCTACTATAAAGTGTAATGTCTAGCTACTTCTTCTGTTGGTTAACATTAGAAGGAACAGGGCTTAGTTGATTTGTTATGGGTGGATGCAATGCAGTTTACATAGATTAAGATTTTCTAAATGTATATTCCAGCTTACGTATTTATATGGAACCATTCTTCTCAAAAGTAGCTAATAACATAAAGAGAATTAAAATACAGAGTTCTTTCTGACACATAGCTCCACAAATGTTATCCTTGTAACACATATTATGTCTTTTCTGTTCAAATGTATGTAAGTACTGAACACTGTATAGTATGATTGAAATGTAAAGGCAAGTGGACCAAAATGTACGTCAAGACCAACAGCATCATGTGGTACCACTGGGATCCAGGAAAACAACCCGTGTAGACACCCAGCTTTCTTTATGTCTGCATTGCACCCTGACATACTCCTTCTGTGGTAGTGATGGGTCATAGAAATGGCATCGTTCTAAGTTGGTGTCCTATTAGAATTCATATATATGCTTTTAATAAAAAGTGATGTAACCATGGTGTTGAATGAAAGTATATTTTTGATGATGGAAACTAAAGCCCCAGTTACATTGCCTTAAAGTAAGCTAAGGCTGACTCTAAGTGTCAAAGTATACACAAGGATGTCACCAGGAAGGATTCAGTACTGTGAAATATGCAAGGACTGTCAATGTGTGCATAGGCTGCAATTATAGTTTAAAAGACCAGCAAATCTATTTTTAAAAAATTTATTGAAGTGTTTAAATATTTCGAACTTTTAGTTTGACCAACCAGGAAAACACCCCACCCCACCAACATACACACACAAAATGCTATCTGCTCTTAAAATCGTTATGTAAGATATTCTAATAGTCACCAATTAGGAACACATAATCTCGGAATATAGGATAACCATTTAAATAGGGCATTTAGCTTAATGAAAAGCACATCTTCATTCTGTTCCCCATCATTTTGCTATAGAACTGGTAGCCTGGGTGCTGTTTTCTGTGCGCTTCCACTTTGGTCTGGTGGTTTGGGTTGAGAGGTGGCAGATTTGCACCTGTAGGCCGAGAGAAGGACTGGTCTACAAGCATGGTAAGCTGCAGCTGCAAACTCTGTTTCCTGGAACCAGTTAGATGGTAGCTGTAGTCCCAGCTGGGAAATCCCTCAGCAGCTTCAAAACTCTCCTGTTCTGGCTTTAGCTGCTTCAGTGGGTCAGGTGCTCTCCTGTGTTCAACACTCAAGGATGAAAGTAATGACAGGAAAGGGTAAATTTGAAGTAAGGGCTTTGAAAAGAAAAGTTTTACTAAAACTGTATACTCGAAGCCGTTCAATCAATGCAGCATATTTTGTAGTCACAGTATTCAGCTTTCCATTGACAACTTTCATACTCTCTGTATTCTCACATGTGCCGGGTCTCATGCATCCCATGCTGGCCTCAAACTCACTTTGTAGCTGAGGATGGCCTTGGTCTTTGAATCCTCCTGCCTCTGCCTCACGAGTGCTGGGATTATGGGTGTGCACTACCACACCTGGTTTTCTTTTATGTTAATTTTTATAGTTTTGCTCTTGGTACTGGAGATTAAACTCAGGACCTAGGCAAATATTTTACCACTGAACAGAATCACTAGCATCAGCTGTTTAATGCCAGCTGGGCTATATAGCAAGGTTGCTTTTTTTTCTTTTTCTTTTTTCTTTTTTTTTTTTTTTGAGAATTTCACACAAACAGTCAATGAAATATCCAATCTGCCCCCTATTGCTGCTTTCCAAGTTTCCCAGTATTCTCCCAACACACCCCACTCCCAACTTTGTTTTTACTTTTTCAAGGTCTCTCCAGAGAGGGAGAACACTCCCTAATATTGCCATTTTTAAGACAGTTTTTGACTTTTTTGTTTTATGAGTATGGATGTTTTGCCTACATGCATGTCAGTGTATCATGTGTGTGTGAGGCTGGAAGAAGGTATCAGATCCTATGGAACTGGAGTTTTGAACAGTTATGAGCTGCTATATGGGTGCTGGGTATTGGACCTAGGTCCTCTGGGAGAGCAGCCATTGCTCTTAACTGCTGAGCCATCTCTCCGGCCCCCATTAAGACAATTTCCTATTTGTGTATCCTGTTGTGCACAAAGACATTTAGCCCTACACAACATCCCAACCACAATGTATAATCTAGAGCTAGTCAAGAAGTAGCAAGAAAAACTATTAAGTCAAGGAATATTCCCCAAAATTCTGAGCCTTGCTGGGCATGGTGTTGTACACCTGTAATCCCTGCACATGGGATGCTGAGGCAAGAGTCTCTCAATTTCAAGGCCAGCCTGGACTATATTCAGAGATCATCATATCTCATGAGCCTATACTCATCAGAACACATTTCAAATGAGACTTAAAGAGATGTGACAACTGAGTGCAGCATAGAATAGTCCTGTGTTGGATCCAGTTCTAACACCAGACCCCTGGTAAAATTTAAGTAAAGGTCAGTAAATTAGCTTCCTGAGTTTGGATAATTATACTCTGGTAACTTGATAGAAACACCACCACCCTGTGTGTGTGCTGTTATATTTTTCAGGGAGAATAGAACATGGTATGTGCAACTGGGTCTCCAAAAAAACCTACTAAAACACATGCAAAGGGAGTGATAGTGCAAAGCTCGGCGTTAATATGTGGAGAATCTAGATGAAAGAATTTGTCAAGTGTTCGTTGTGGTTGTGAATTTCATGTAAATCTGGAATTTTACAGACATGCACCACCCTGCCAGGTCCAATGGCTTTAATTCTTCAGAATCTAAATACAGTATTTGTAGTTCTCATGGTTTATTTTCTTTGTTGTGTGTGTGTGTGTGTGTGTGTGTGTGTGTGTGTGTGTGTGTGCGTGCGTGCGTGCGTGCGTGTGTGTGTGTGTGTGCGCGCGCTTTCTTTTAAAACATTTTTAAATATGTAAGGGTGTGCATGCTCCTGTGTGTGTGGCGGTCAGAGGACAATTTTGAGGTTGAACTCTGGTCACCAGATCTGCTGAGCTCAGTAGTGTTTACCTGCTGAGCTGTCTTGACGATCCTGTTGTTTAGTCTTTCTTGTGGGGGTAAGGAAGGAGGGGGGCGCACACATGCATGCATGCATGCATGCATGCACATGTACACACACCACATGTGCAGGCGTGCTCTCAGGGGCCAGAGGAGGAGTTGGTTATATGTAACTGTGAGCCCCTTGGTGTGAGTGCTGGGAATGGAACTGAGGTCCTGGGCAAGAGCAGCAGACACCCTTAGTGGAAAAGCCATAGTCTTCCAGGCGCTGTCACTTTGTGTTTCTGTTCCAAAGTCCTGTTTGGCTTACTGTGTTCTAGGACAGCTCTGAGGGATGTTCCTCTGCAGATCTAAGCTTCCTTTCTCCTTTCCTGAGCCTGGGGCATCTGACAACCTGGCACCACTCCATCCTGTGTAAGGCATCTGTCTCGGCTCAGCTCTTATGCTTTCTAGAGATTTCTGTAATTAGTCTTCTGTCCCCACATTGGGTTTCGGCATTATTCTCAGGGGAAACGGCTGGTTTCCTGTTCTCGCTGCTTACTGATTTCAGCTCTAATATGTTTTTCTCCTTTTGCTTTAGTGAGTTTTCTGGCCCTTAGAGAGCTGACTGGTTTCTTGTAAATCTAGCCTTGCAGTAAAATACTCAGAGTATTAACGAATTCGTTTTGCAGGAATTTGGGTCTGGACTAATTATTTGTTTTGTGTTTTAATTGGTGGGGATTTCGTCTGATACAAGCAATGAGATAGAATAAAAACAGCATTGTGGAAACTAGACATCTACAGCAGCCAAATGGGGACAGAAACAGCTTTCATCTGGCATTCCCAGGGTCTTCAGCCCCTCCCTCAGTTCTTCTTACCTAACTTTACTGCAGATGTCCTGCTACTCCTGCTGGAAGCTTCCTGAGTTCTTCCTCTCTTGTCTCTCTCTCCCTCCCCATTTTTTTATAGTTTAGATTTTTGCTAGCTACTCTCTATTATTGTAAAACTCTTTTTAAGTACATAAAGCAATTAACTTAAAAAGAGAAAAAGTTTATTTTCATTCACAATTTTAATTTTTAATATTTATTTTATGTGTATGAATGTTTTGCCTGCATGTAGAATCAGTGCCTGAGGAGGCCAGAGGAGGGCATCCAATCATCTGGAATGGGAGCCATGTGTTTGTAGAACATGGAACC